TGACGTGACACATTGCGTGACTAAGATACACTACCTTGTGTGTCGGACATGAAAGAGAATCCAAGAGAGTACCATTTTCATGCACGGTACGGAAAATATATTTCTGCCCATCGTAAGCAGCTGCAGTAATTTGGCAGGGTGTCACAGTGAAAGGGAACTTTGTAGATATGCACTGAAGATGAGGGAAGGGATTTGAATGCGATGACATGCATGGTGGATGAGCCCTAAACGAACCGTGACTTGTCTGTGATTTGACTTGCCTCATTCATTCGTAAAAGCTGACACACAACAAGTTACAATAACTAAAAGATAAATAGCAATTCAACGTTTTGTGCTTGAAATAAAGTTTATTCTAATAACAAAACAATTTTTAACAGTTGAAAAGCAGTAACTATTATTGAGCTACTAGAGGCCGTTAACACGTTTATATCGCTACTCAAAATGCATCTTTCGTTAAAACTTTTTCTTAAGAATCAACTGTTTAGTTCCGATTAATTTCTTCAGAAAATACCTTAAATTTTTGGTTTGGTTAAAACAGTGAATGTTGCTCTTGTCCTTAGCCTATACGAGACCTATACCAAGTGGGTGTGGCGTTTATTTGAGGGCAGCGTGTATCGGTAATTTGCTCTCATTTGCTACATTTAATCGAGGGCGGAGTTAAATCAAGTAAATATACGGTATATGAATGCAGTTACTTCCTTGGAGATACTCCTCTAATAGTCGGTATACAGGAAACCAAATTGTAGCTATTCTTACTAACTTGAGTACACTAACTTGATTACGAAAATCATTGTCGCCAAACTCAATTCTTGTGTTTAAGTGAAGTTTTGGGCATTTCTCTATGATGTCATTTTCTTTCCTTTAACAGTTCTAAGTTTAATACAGATAAAAAATCTTTGAAAGCGTTTTAAGTGTATTGTAAAGTTTATTCTAAGAACATCTGACTGATTTTACCCCGCTTACATTGATTAGCCCTTACGTGACACTTGACCACGCCCTCTTACAGAAAAATCACTTTATTACGGGTATATTTGACATTTGTTGGAAAACATTTTGCTGTAACAATTGGGAGTACAGGTACAAATCATTGTTTGTTTTGTACAATGCTGAATCTTAGTAATTTCACAATTCACGTTGTCTTTCTCGCCTCCTTAATATGGTGACGTCAAATTAAACAGCAGAACATTGCCACTTACGTTTGAATCTGTCTATATGTTGGCCAATAATACTGTAAATATTTTTAATACATCTTCTAATACCGTAAAATTCCGAAAATAAGTCCCTCCAAAAATAAGCCCCCCAAACCGGTAGCGCAAAAAACCATCCGTTAAATTTCCCCTCCAAAAAAAGCCCCCCCCCGGGGGGGGGGGCGGGCTTGTACTTGGAAAATTGCCCTCAAATACAAAGTAAAACAAAGCAAAAACGGTAAATTTACTTCCAACTATAACGCTAGCCCAATCACATTTTGAAACGCAAATTTCCCTCCGAATATAAGCCCCTCAAAAAGGCCCTTTGAAAAATATAAGCCCTGGGGCTTATTTTCGGAATTTTACGGTATCTTTAAAAACGCTTAGCTAATATTTCTATTTCTTTATAAGCATCAGAGCGTTTTAGCAACGATTTATGCAGCAGTAAGCGTCGACCTCACTGCAACCACATTGCACAATGCACCTGACATGCGACTTCCTGCATTTACAGTGAAGTGTTCCGTAGCCAGTGGTGTACTGGCATGAAACCAACACCAGACAAGCCTCCGGGATTAAATTGAGGGTCATAAAGACAGAGACAAATAGATATTCAGCTAGCATGTAGTCGCTGTCTCCTCTGGGTTCAAAAGCACTGGTTTCGGAATGTGTACCTGACGCCAAACCGTAGCGTAAAACAGTATACCACTTCAGTTCAACAGGTTCTGTAAATACCAGGACACTTTTGCCTTAGAAAATATCAGCTAACTGTAGCTGCTACGTAATGCTTCGGGCCGGGAATTACAGGGGTGGTCAGTTTTGTCGGCAGGCCTCAAGCTTACCAAACGCTTAGTTTTACTTGGGTCTCTTTGCCAAACAGCTGCCTGTGATGCGCTGAAGGTGTGTTCTTTCCATCTGGTGACAAATCGTTGTTGGCAATGTTATCAGCTGTGAACTTCGTGAAATTGCCTAGGTTTAAATTAGGTAGGATAATGGTGCTATTTTTCTAATTTATTGCGCTAGTAAGGTGTCCAACTTGAGGATTTGCCCGTAGCTGTATATGCCCCGCCTTGTGTATCAGATCTACTAGCGGCCTTGAACGCATCGCGTCAGAAAGGGTAGTGCCCAGGAACACCTGCTCCATCACTGGCAGCGTACACAACACCTTGTGCGATGGGTAAGACAATAGTCATTAGTGTGATGGTTTTGTGCGTTGCAATTACTATAAATGCTGTCTTGAAGCTTCTGATCCCCGAAAAGAAAGTTTAAAAACATGTTCGTGTACAAACTGTCTGGCACAGAGCTATCGCTGCCTCTTCGGAATCGTCAAATCCCTGGTGCACTGGGGTATCCATCAGGTCCCTTCTACGTTTTAACACAACATGAATTGGCGACAACAAAGTTGGCTCATTGTGAGGCATTGTGAGCATTTCGTCATAATTAGTAATGCCAGTACTCTGGTAGAAACTGTCTGTAATGATCTCATGGCAATATTTGCGCAAAGTAAGTAATGGTTCTCTCTCTCTTAAACGTCCCGCGTCAGTGGCTGAACGAATTCGAACATGCTCCCCTTTTTTTGAGATTCTCTTTAAATGATGTTGCCCTGCTGATAAACGACTTTGATATTTGTATATTGGTTTCTTGGGCTTGCTTGTTATGTCTCAACCATGCGTCAGATAGCTGGAATATTTGGTTACGCTCTGCAGCATAGTGGAACTCAGAACAGATAAAGAACGTAGCGATGTCTGTCCTTTAAGATTCCTTGTTTTTGCTATTGTGGTACGTTTAAGCGCTCAGGCACTTCTTGTGACACTTTCCTTTGTGCAGCAATAAGGTCGCTGGTCTCAGCAGGGTAGAATCTCATTGTATTATCCATTGCAAGGATTGAATTGCTACTAACCATTGAATGCCGTAACTGATATGAGCGCTTCCCGGGGTTTTCATTGTTGGCAAAATGCACTCTCCAGGTGCGGCACTTCTACTACTACTTCTTGCTTCTTGCCCTCTTTATGAGATGGAGGTCGCCTTGCTGTCAAAACATGCCCTTCAGTTTCCTACGTTTGGATGGCAGGTTGTTCAGTAGCTTTTCTCAATTTTCACGTTGTTTATTAAGTCTAAATAACAATTCCAGTACCATTGTAGACAGCATGAATCAGAAATGGTTCCATCAGGAGCGATTTTATCTATCTGGTACGCGTTTAACTGCCTCTATATTCAGTGTTCATCACAACGACTTTTCCTTGCCTTTGCAGCTTGAAACAGCTTTTCACAACTCTGGTCGCTGCTTGTGGAAAGGCTCCTTAGCGTCCGAAGTGAAAACAACACCACAGCTCCTGTTGTTTTTAGATGCTGTCATGCATCTACATTTTAAGAAATCCGAACTAACTTGAATCACAAGAAATATTACAATTTTACCCATAGTTATGTCAGTTTTATATCAAAGGGTGTGGTCAACTGCCACTTGGCACCTCGAAGTTCGATGAAAGAGCGTTTCAGAAATACTCTAAGATAATCTTTACAATAAAATTAACACCCTTTCAAACAATTTCTGGATCTATTAAATTTATATTTATGAAAGTTAAGAACACTCCTTATTTGGACAATGACGTCATAATGAAATACTCCAAAACTCCACCTTAACACAAGAATTGAGCTTGGCAGCAATGATTTTCGCAATCAGCGTACTCGAGTTAGTAAGAATAGCCATGCTGCCAAAAATCAGACAAAAATGCCCATGGGTGTCACAATTGCTTTCCTGTGTACCCGACTATAAATCATATAACATCCATCGGGTATTTTTGGTGTATTCTTGCATTCGTTACGTTCATATTAAAGTCTTTAATTTGTCTATTCTGTCTCCACATAACCCGAACCCTTCCGCCATTTTCTTGAGTTTTGCAGTGATGTCAAAAATAACTTAGTTACCAATCAGGTCAATAACCAGAGTTGAATACCATCAACTAACTTGATGCCGTTGACTACCGCACAGGTTGTCGAAACGTCAGTCACTGACAGCAACAGTCCTATTCAGGACTACGTTCACTCAGACGATCTTGCTTAACCTACTTATTTCAGTGCAACCAAATGAACCGAGGCCACCCAGACAAAAAAATGACACAAATTTTGAAATTAGCCAATCACAAGTCGAGATCTAAACAAGCCAGTTCAAAATACGTTGCGAACCAGTTTTCCAAAGGATATAATTAAGGAATCATGACGTTGTGTAAATCAAGCTGAAAAATGGTTAATCAAAGCCAGCAGTAAAGAATTTTATTCGAAGGAATTTGGGGTTTTTCTGTTCCGTCAGTCATCTTATTGGACCCCACTTAGGAAACATATTCACTTGAACGAGTTCAAAAGGTCATGGTTTTTGATTGGAGGATTTAGATCCGTTTTGTTTGTTTCCATGTTTCACTGGGTTCGTTGCTTAGTTTGGGGCAATCATCGTCTGATCTTCCTTATTTTTGTCACTAGCAAGAATAAAGCAATGTCTGCCTCCTTCCCTCGCCAAAAATTCAACTAACCTAGCGATTTCCTTCGCTATTCTGGAGCAGTCTAGAGTCATTCTCAGTTTTGTTTTTGCGGGCTTAGCTTGGGCGAGTGCGTTGCATTGTAATTTGCATTAACCTGCCCCATATCTTTGTAATCAGCGACACTGCGATTTACTCAGAGCTAGCTGTTGCTATAAACGTATTTCTAGTTTAAGTCTAAACGGCAATAGCTACTCTTCTAAATTACACTTGCAAAGGCGTTATTGAGTTGATCTTAAACTTTCTTTTCCGTTCCTCTAAACAACAATAAGTGACACCAAAGTCA